TGCAGACTGAAGCCACAATACCACCACACACCTGTTTACTAAAATGGTTAAAATAAAAACTATTTTATTCCATTATTATTGGACAATACCAAGTGCTAGCAAGTATGCCAAGCAACTGGAACTTCCACCTATACATTGCTGGTGGGTAGGAAAAATGGTACAGCTATTCTGAAAAATAGGGAGTTTCTCATGTTACCATATGACCGTCCTTGGCACCTTAGAGAAATTAAAATTCACTTTCACACAAAAACCTAAACAAATATGTACAGTAATTCTGTAATCAACAAACTCTGGAAACAACCCAATTGTTCACCAATGAAATACTACTCTACTGTGAAAAGGAACAAAGTACTGATACATGCAACTTGGATGAATCTCAGTGATCATGCTAGGTGATATAAATTAGCCTCAGAAGATTACATACTGGATGGTTCCACTTACATGGCTTCTCCAAAAAATAAAATTTTATAAGTTACAGAGTTGTGGCTGCCAAGAGTTTGGGAGGGGAAGAGGAGGGAGGATATGACTGCATAGGGATAACATGTGAGAGCTTTTGTGAATGACACTGTTCTGCATCCTGATTGTTAGTGATTACATGATATGTGTTAAAGTTCAAATAACAGGTAGCTCAGTGGTAGAACACTTGCTTAACATGCACAAGGCCCTGGTTTCAATCCCTAACCCTGCAACAACAACAACAAAAAAAACCCCACATTTTTTACAAAATCAAAACTGGGCACACCTATACTTCCAACTACTCAGGAGGCTGAAATGGGAGAATCATCTGGCCCAGAAGTTTGAGATCAGCTTGGGGAACAAAGTAAGATCCCAATTAAAAAAATAAATAATCAGCCGGACACTGGTAGCTCACGCCTGTTATCCTTGCTACACAGGAGGCAGAGATCAGGAGGACTGCGGTTTGAGGGCAGCCAGAGCAAACAGTTCATGAGACCCTATCACAATAAAAGGGCTGGTGGAGTGGCTAAAGGTGTAGGCCCTGAGTTCAAGTCCCAGTACTGCCAAAAAAAAAAAAAAAAAAGAAAGAAAGAAAAAGATAATGATAATCAATTTTGTTATGCATTAACTTCTAAAAATAAATATTCAACAGTAGCACTTAGGAACACTGGCTGGCTGGATCTACTCACATCACACCATACATGTACCCAGTAAGTCCACTCCCAGGCACATGCGCAACTCAAACCAGTGCCCAAGCCACCAAAAGTCACATTCAGAATATGCATACCAGCTCAAATCATCAGTCTAAAGTAAAATAACCCAAATCTCCATCAGTATTAGATTGGATACACTGTGCACCAGCCAGGCAATGGAAAACTTAAAAAAGAATGCTCAAATGCTACACCAGTCAAGGTTCACCTCAAATAGAACGCTGAGGTCAAAGAGCCAGAGCACAAGAAGGTCCTATCATATAATTTAAAAACAAGTAAACTGCATTGAAAGGACACCGATCAGTGGTGGGAATGACCAGAAAAGGGAGCAGAGCACATTCTGGAGCAGTGGGGATGTGCACTTATCTTGATGCATTCTGTGCATGGGTGTACACATACACAAAAACACTCAATCACATAGGGGCTCTCTGAAGCTGCACCATGTTGAAAGTATGCACGGTAATAAGTTAAACCATTAATCTTAAAGCACTGAAGTTCTAGATTTTTATTCAACCTACTCTATACAATCTCAGGTAACTAAGGCAAATATGAGTTAAGACTGAACCTCATTTCATCATGGTAGCAATTTCTACAACAGATGGAAGACAACTAAGTGCACCCTGATAAACTCCAAAGTCTTATCCTCATGGCAGGGCTGTTCATACAACAACCATACCATCTAGCCTCATATACACTGTATGGTGGCCTTTACATATTGTTAACCAGACTTTTCCTAGCTCCCTTTTCAGCAATGAAAAGGGACTCACATGACTGCAAATGCCCCATACCCTATGACAGGCTTGTTTCTCTTCTGGCTTTAAAAACTTAGCATCAGTTTGAAAACTTACTTTGGCCCCTACCCCAAATAGCATCCTTTTGTAAATCTCTAAAAGCATTACAAAAATAGCCTTAAATTCCCATTCCAGTCCTCTATGAATATAAATCATACGAATTTGATATTCCAACAGCTAGTGACACAGATCAATTCTCATAACAGAGGAATTCTGGATTTTGTAGATAATATGTGTATGACTTAATTTTGGATATTCAGAAAACAGAATTCTAATGGTGTAAATTTTTACTTTGTATATAATACCTAAAATTTTAACTGCTAAATGGAAGTAAAAGCCTAAATTAGTTTTATTTGAAAAGAGAAAAAATGCTAGCAATATCGGGGTATGAAAGTACCACTCACCTTTCTGCTCTGTAAGCAATGCTCATTGTAGATATGAGCATTTAAAGCTTGAGGCATGTGCAGAAAGGACAAAAATTAAAGCCTCAAGTGTCCACCACAGAGTATCTAATGTATACTCTATCAAACTTTCCTATGCAAATATATACACAGATGCTTTACAAAACAGGTCTATGTTGCAAATGCTGTTTTTGCAAGCTTCTTTTTTCACTTAAAACATAACATTATGAAACTTAGGTTTTAAAATAGAAATGCAAAATAATTCAACCTGTCCACAACATGCTTCACCTACCAACCACTGTCCAGGCAGAACAGACCAAAAGGCCCTAAAGAGAAGGCCTCACCCAAGGTTCAAGTGCAGCATTTTTAACCTTGTGTCAGTTTCTCCATTTCACAAGTGGAAACGGCTTCATCAATAGCATTCTGTGGCAGAATCCCTAAAAGTCCACCTCAAACTCCTGAAAAATCATGGCACGCTCACACGGCACTTAGGCACTGCTGAAGCAGTTCCTCTGCAGTTACTTGTTCAATTCTACAACAGCCTAGGTCCTGGGTACCCTGTGAGGTCGCACAGGTGTGATACCTTGCCAGAGGGATAGAGCCTAACAAATTCACGATCCCCCCAGGTTTTGTATGCCAGAGTTCAGTTCTGAACCAAAGACTCTAGAAGCTACACTTTCCTACTTCCCTCAGAGCACTCACTATTTCTTTGTAGAGACTACCCACGTGTACGCATGCCTCTCTGACTTTGGAGCCACTTAGAGGAAGGTGGTCCTGGGTATAATCCACAGTGCCCGTGCCCAGCACACAGGGCAGTGGGGCTGTGACTCCTTGATCAAGAATCCTTCTACTGCACCTTTTCTCTTAGCCACCTCTAGCTTGGTACCTTCTGTACAGAGGATGCTCCCTGGGAATCAGAAACACAAGGTTGGAACAAATTTGCTATTCCCTGCTGACACTGTTTTGAGTGCCATACGATGTACTCAAAGACACCACTATATGCGTGGAAACAATTCAGAACCTTCAAAATGACATTAAGACATTTGTCATCAGTGTCAAGGACATTTTTAGCCCTCTGGCCACGAGGAGCATTTTTAATACACGACTAAAACAGCACTTGTATAGAAAACTTATTATTAAACTTAGTATTTTTCTTTAATGAAACTGAATGGAATAGGAAAGATCAGAAAGTATTGGAATATTCTGTAAAACTTCTGAGTGTAAGAGTTTTTATTTTTTACAGTGGGCTATGGTCAAAACTCTTGATGCCTAACAGAAAAAAACAGTCCTGCGATAAATATTACTACCCATAGATTAACTGAGTGTGAATAGTACAATTAGAGTAACAAAAGTAAAATTATGTAGTTAAATATTGCAATATAAACAGAAAATATTAGAACCTCGAATGGTGTGAAAAGCCAGTCTACTGAATCCATAGAAATGGGTGTATGTTCTCTCCAGGCACAGCAAACACCATTAACATTTATGAAAAAGATTTCCACCTTCCCTTCCCAGCAGAAGCCAACACTGTGCCCTTCAAAAACCCAGTGCATTTGCACAAGTCTCATCCTGGATCCCAAGAACTGCAGCTTGTTTCGCTGTCCAGGGTGGTGGATAAAGGCAAACTCCGTAAATTAAACCAGGGCCACGACCCAGGATCCTAAACAACTGTAACAATATAGAGATGCAACAATAAAGAAACCTCCGACAACCCTGCTTGCACTGCAGGGAGCACGCGGAGTTGCTTAAACTGAAAGTTCGCACACATGCGTTACTATTTCCTGTATTAACATAAGCATCAGAAAGTCACGCCGTGTGCACTGATCTCTTGTCTGCTCCCACTACACACCGTTCTAAGGCATTATCTGGAATCTCGCAAAAATCAATTTCTGCCCCAAATTAGGCGCACAAATACTAATACTGTTTTGTTTTTAAACTGCAAATGTCTTTTTTAAAAAGGTAACTTCAGAGTTCTAACAACATGTTAACAAATAACGTAACTTCCAGGGGAAAAAAATCCATTATCTTTAGAAGCCACCTCAATCTCTGGAAATGACCATGCCAACCAACTACGTCCCCCGTATGAGTTCTGTCTTTCGAAACGGTACAACCAGAATGAAATAAATAGGGAATACAAGTGGCAGCAATATAGAATTTTCAAGCCCTAACCCTGCAAACGTGCCTTGGTGACCAGACCCCTAATTCCCCAGGCAGCAGGGAGCAAGGGCCCGGGTCGCTACCCCGGGGGCCTGTCAGGCAGCTTTCGGCCCGCCATCCCGGAGAAGCACACCGAAACTTGTAGGGGGCACTTTTCACCTCGCTGTGCAGGAGCGCGGAGGTGGAGGGCTGCGAGCCCAGCCCACCCCTCGGTTCGCGAGCCCCGCAACAGCCGGCGAGGTCGGAGGAGCTCCCGGCCTCATCAGAGCCGAGCCTCGAAGGGGGCAGCGCCCCGGGCCGCGGCGCCCGGTCCCCACCGGCGCCGCCCTCCGCGCCGCGCCGCGCCGCGCTGCGCTCGCGCCCCGGGAGGAACTGAGCTGTCAGAGCGCGGCCGAGCAGCCCGCGCCGGCCCGTTATCCGCCGGCCGCTCGCGAGGGGGCGGCGGCCGGTCCCGCCCGGCCCGACCCCAGTCTGCCACCGCTTACCTCGAAGTAGCCTCCGGCGGCTCCGCCCGCGCCCAGGGGCCCGTGAGCCGCCACCGCACCGCCCAGCAGGCCCGCCGCGCCGCCGGGGCCCGGGGCCTGGGGCCGCGCAGCGCCGCCGCCGGGCCGGCCTTGCCGCCGCTCGCGCCGCCGTGGCCGCCGCCCGACCCGCCGCCGCCGCCGCCGCCGCCGCGCTTGTTCTTCCGGCGCTTGGCCCGCGCTTGGCGTCGGCCGGGCTCATGGCGGGCGGGTGGGCGGCGGGCGGGATGGGGCGCGGGCGGCGGGCGGGCGGGCACGGGGCCGCGCGGCGGCGGCGGCGGCGGCGACGGCGGCGGAGGGAGGGCGGCGGCGGAGGCGACGGCGGGCGCTGAGGCCGGCCGGGCGGGGGCGCGGCGCGGGGTCGCCTCTCGGGCGAGGAGGGCGGGGTGGGCGGGAGCTGCGGGGCGGTCGCTGGCGGGAGCGACAGCGAGTCCACCGGGCCCGGCGCCGCTGCTGACCAGAGTTAGAGTCCAATATGGCGGACACAAGGGGAAAGGGATCCCAGTTTACGTCGGGGGAGGGGGAAGCAGCGGCGGGGAGGAGGGGCGCGGGCGCCCTCCCCCGCCGCACTCCGCCCTCCCGGGCGCCACCGCCCCTCTCCTTGCCCCCCGCCCGCCGCCAACGACGCCGGCGCGCAGGGCACGCCGGGAGCTGAAGTCCGCGCCGCCCGCGCCACCGCCTGGGCGCCCGCGGCGGAACCACGACTCCCGTAGGGCTCTGCGCGACCCAAGGCCTGCGGGGGGGCGGGGCCCCAACGGGACGTCAGCGCCTCGCCGGCCGCCGCTCATGCCGCGCAGCCTTGTGGGCGCTGTAGTCGGCGCGCGGGCAGAGGTCGTCGCCAGGCGGGGCGCTCGGGGTCGCGCAGTTGCGACTCTGACAGGCTACCCGCGCTTCCCGACGCTGGCTACCGCAGTCCCGCACGCTCTGACCCCGCACCGAGCGGCCCGCTGACCTTGGCCCGGCCCGGGCTCGTGCGCGCTCCCTCCACCTGCCTCTGTGTGACCTTGGGCCTGCCGTGGGCCAGTTTGAGGACGGCCGGCATCTTCTGCGCGGATGGGTCGGCTGCTCCCAGGGCCGTTCGCGATGACTAGGCCCGCGGGGAGCCGGCGGCCGCTGCACACTCCTGTCGGTTCTCTTAGGGTCCTGGGCCCAAAGGGGCGCTTGCCTCAAGCCGTCAGCCCGGACTCCTGGGCCGGGCCAGCCGCTTCTCACCACCTCGCATTTACCCACATGGCCAGGCGCTGCCGGCCCCGCGGGACCTCAGTCCAGGGCAGAGATGTGGGCCACTGCCCGGGCCCTCCTTCTGGGCGTCCTACCGATCACCAGCGAGCCTCAGGTACAACTCTGCCTTTGGACCCGGGCCAGACAGATCCGGCCTGGGCCTCGTATTCCACACGCACCGAGGCACGAGACTTGTTGGGTAGTTAGAATCCAGATGTGGCGAGCCTCGCATTAAGACGTATGCTCTGACTCCTCCATTTACAGCCTCTCTTGGGCCTGCCCACTTACTGTCTGCAACCCACCCCTGCCCCAGCTGCAGCCAAGGCTTAGCAGGTTGCTAAGTTTGCCCCATCTTTCACCCACAACCAGAATGAGCTAATGTAATCAAGGCAACCCTATGCGTAAAGCACTTCAGGGATTCTGCCTTGTCAGAGAAACGAAGATCCCTCACCCCTTCCAGGTCTAGGTGATCCTGCGGCTAAAGTGGAGTTAAAGTGGACAGGAGTTGCTTCCTCCTTTAGCACTCCTCTTTAGTGGGCAGTGTCTTAGGCTGCCCCTTAACCCACACACACACCTCCCCTCAGGAGCCTCTCTTCTCCCAGAACCGCTGTGCTTTCCCTCGTGGCACAGTGGCATGGGATTGGGATTCTCGAGTGTCACTAGAATCCTCAAAGAGGAAACGCCTTAGAGAGCAGGGGAGGACAAGGGAATGCCTGCCTCCCACACCTGAGGCCCAACTCCTTCCAAGCAAGGGGCTGGGCACACAGCATTCCAGTTATTTGCTGAATGAATGAATGACGTAATACCATTTGTCCTGCAGTTATGCACCAGCCACTCTGCCTGCTGCCATATCATATCATCTCACTCAATCCACAGTCATTCTCCGGATAAGTACCGTTAACTTTATTTTATGGATCAGAAACAGATTCATAGATGGTAAGAGATTTGCCCAAGCCACCCCAAGTCAGAGGCAGGGCCCAAATCTAGCTGAAGCGTGACTTCTGGGTACAGCTGAGCTGCTCTGGGTACCGGGGGTGCGGAGGGAAGTCTCAGGGGTTGAGCCAATTACTGTCACAACAGAGTACTTAGAACAATGCAGCAAGAAAACCTGACATGTCCCAGGACCTCTCAAAGCCACTGTGTGGAGGAAGTGAAACTGGTGCAAAGTATAGGCTCTGTGAGGCTGGATTTTATTCCAAAGGCAGCCATGGAGGCCTTTCAGCCAGGAGTGTCATGTTAAGATGTACACTTCTGAGGGAACTCTGGCTACTGTGTACAGAATGATGGCAGAAGAACAAGAACCTTGAGACCAAAACCTTGTGGGGTTGGAGAAGGTGCTCCTGGCAGTAGAACTGATAATCCAAAGGTAGAAAGCAATGCTTCCCAACCTTTCTTCATCTCTCCCTGTTGGGGTCTGGAAAATTCCTAAATTGTAATCTTATCACCAATGTGATAGTACTAGGTTTGGAAGGGATAAGGTCATGAAGGCAAAGTCCTCATCAGTGAGATTATTGCCTTCATAAAACAGCCCAACGTGGCTAGAGGTGTGGTCCAAGCAGTAGAGTTCCTGCTTTGCAAGCAGCAAGCCCTAAATTCAAACCCCAGTCCCACCAAAAAGGAGCCAAAAGAACCGCTTCATCTCTTTGGTCACACCAGGACCCAGTAGAGGTCCCAGCTATGAACCAGAAAAATAGGCCCTTAACCAGGTACCAAATCTGCCTGTGCCTTGATCTTGGACTCCCAGCCTTCAGAACTGTGATAAATAAATTTCTGTTGTTTATAAACTATCCAGTTTGTTTTTGTTACAGTAGCTTACAAGGATTAAGACTATCCCTAAAAGCCAGGCACCTGTAACTCCAGCTAGTTGGAGGCTGAGCAGGAGGATCACGAGTTGGGGGATAGCCTAGGCTATATAGGGAGATCTTGTCTCAAGAAACCAAGCATTGTGGCTCACCTCTATAATCCTAGCTACCTGGGAGGCAGGGATCAGGAGAATCTCAGAGGCCAGCCTGTAGAAAAAGTTAAATGAGGCCCCATCTGAAACACTCTGGGCATGGTGAAGCACACCTGTGATCCCAGGTACCTGGAGGCCAGCCAGGGCAAAAGAAAAGAAAAATGCAAGACCCTATCTGAAAAGTTAACTAAAGGAAAGAGGGCAGGAGAATGGCTCGAGTGATAAAGCACTTGTCTAGAGAGGCCCTAAGTTCAAGTCCCAGTGCTGCCAAAAACAAAAGAAAAAACCCCCTCCACCCCCCAAAAAAGGTGCTTTGGCAGTTTTTGTTCTTTAGAACAAACTTTTGTTTAGTACTTTCTAGAGTTTGTTTCTTCCCCTAAGAATCAATTTTGACCTCTTGGGGGTGTATTACAATTCTCTGGAGAAGTGCAGCCAGCCAGATGGAGATTTTGTGATAAGGAATTGGCTCATGTAATTATGGAAGCTAATACTACAGATACGCAAGCATTAAGGGCTGGAGAAGGTCTTGTATGTACTGAGAATCAAGAGAAGTTGACTCCAGGCTGGAACTTGGCAACATGCCAGAGTGCTTGCTTAGCATGTATGAGGCCCTGGGTTTAGTCCCCAGCACTGCAGAATAATAAAAAACAGAAATTTATTCTAGAAGCACAGGTGGTTACAGGGAGGTGTGGGCAGTTACCTTGGAGCAGAATTCTGCACAATACAGCATCCTCCTGATTCCAGAAAGCTCTTAGAATTCATTTTCAAGAAAAGGCAGAAATACTGGATCTTTTCATAAAATAGCAGTTGCATTATTCTCATGTGCTGTAACTATTAGCCAGGATATATGAATGTATAGACTAGTAAGAGATGCTTTTATATGGAAAACTAGTAAGTTAATTGTATCACAATTCATGACCAGTGGGCGTTATGTAATAATGCATCATTACCTGGAATGCTCTGCTTTTCTAATTTGTAGCTTTATTAGACCTGCAGAAAGAATAGTTAGATACCCCTGCTCAGGCCACTCCCTTGCCCCAAGCAAAACCGTAGTGGCTGAGTGACTACTAGGCAGGGCACACAGAATTCTCCGCAGAAACTGCAAGACACAGGCATACTGGTTTTTGAGGATCTCAAAGAATCAGCCATGTCAATAAACTCTGCCTATACAGGGCTTCTAAACTTCAAAACATGTCTCTTGTAAACATGAAGACTTGTCAAGGATCAGCTGAAATGTCTCTGGGCTAGGGGATGTGGCTCAAGGAGTTAGGGCACTTGTCTAGCAAGCAAGAAGCCCTGAAGCCCTGAGTTCAAACTCCAGTATCTCAGAAAAAGAAAAGGTTAAAAAAAGAAGAGAAAGAAACAAATGTCTCCACCAGATGGTGTGCCACTCTAACTGTAATCCTGGCTAAGGCAGGAAGATCTCAAGTTCCAGGCCAGCCTGAGCTACATTACAGGACACTGTTTCAAATAAAGGACAAAGAAAAAAAAATGGCCCAGATTCAAACAAGAGATGGAAACTGAGGATAAGTCACCTAACAGAGCAGGTGGGTTCCTCAGATTCCCAGTTTCCAAGCAAGATTACAGGTCTTGAGATCCATACACTTGAAAATAATTTCAAGGTGTCTCACACACACAGTCTCACAAGGTGGAACTATTAGCAAGGATTTGTTTTAGTATAATAGGATCAAAGTAGGGAGAAATTTTAAGAGAGAAAAAAGCTCCTCCTGCTAGAAGTGCAGGGTGGGAAACAAGCTTAAAAAATGGAAGTCCATTTGGAGAGTTTATATTTTCTGAACCGGGGAAATGCACGTCAAGTTGAAGTCTAGCAACCCCTAATAATCAGACAGTGGTTCTGGGTAGCCAAGATGGGTCGTTAGTTTTCCTAAAACCTGAAGGTGTGACTCACAGGGACAAAAGGTGTTTTGACTATTTTTGCTAGACTTGCCTTTCATTTTTCTGTTGCTCTACCCATTCTGAGAATCATGTTTATTTTCTCCCTCAAAATACGTATTAGACAAAATAACTTCCATTTCTGAATAGTTCAGAACAGACTAATATCCCCATTTGGATACCCAAAAAGCCAGATAAAATATAGGAAACAAGTGTTTATGAAATTAAAGCTACTCAACACAGAATGTCAATTTTCACATCAGGTGTTTTCCACCTAGGGCCATGGACTGGGGACACAGCTAGAAAGGAAATGGGAGACTTGGGACTGTGACCCCAGTGAGAGGGGATGGGTATATTACTGAATCTGATACATGGTCAGTTTTTCCCTCAAGATACTGTCAATGCCAGGTGTGGTGGTGCACACCTGGAAGCACAGCAGAAGGATTGCAATTTACAGGCCACCCTGGAATGCAAATCGAGACTGTCTCAAAGAAGAAGGGGGAAAAAATGAGGGGAGGGCTGCTGGAAGCATGGCTCAAGTGATAGAGCTCCCAGCCTACCAAGCATGAAATCTTGAGCTCAATCTCCAGCAAGGTGGGGGACAGATTCTAAGAAACCAATCAGAAAAGCCATGAAAAGCAAACCAGAGATTTTGGCAATTTCATTGGACTGAGGTCAGGGATTAAAAATCTGACTAAGCAGAAGTGCCCTGGTGCTTAATGGGAAGCCCTGAAAGATAAGGTTTTTAAGTGGGAAGTGCAAAGCCTAAACTCAGCTGTCAACTGCAGTGAATTGAGAGACCAGATTAGTAAAGCACATGTCTGGGTATGGATGGAGTGTGAATCTGCTCTGAATGTGGGTACCATCCAATAGGCTGAGAGCCCAAAGGAGTAAGAGGGGAAGGAGGAGGAAACCAGCTAGTGCTGGCAAATTTTTTTTGGGAGGGAGGGGGGTAACTGGAGTTTGATTGCTAAGCAAATGCTCTACCATTTAAGCCATGCTCCCCAGCCCTTTCTACTTTAGATGTTTTCAAATAGGCCTTTACAGTTTTCCCACCTGGCCTCAGACCATGATCCTCTCAATCTCTGCTTTATGAGTAGCTGGAATTAGAGGTGTGAGCCACCAAGCCTTGCTTTAGCAGTCATTTTCTCTCTGCTTCCTGGCTGCCATGAAGTGAGCAATTTTGCTGGAACACATACTTTTGCCACTATGATGTTCTGCCTCACCAAGAACACACAGCAATAGAGCAAGCTGACCAAGGACTGAAACCATGAACGAAAATAAATCTTTCTTCCAAGTGGTTCTCTCAGGTGTTCGACACAGCAATGATAAAAACTAACACTAAGCATCAGCTCTACTTGCAAAGTAGAGGACCATAGCACCAACAGCCTCTGCAATTTCTTATAATGTTCAGCACCAAGTAAAAATTTCTAGGCAGCCAGGTGCAGAGGTATATACCTATAGTCCCAGTTGAGAGACTGAAGTAGAAGGCCCTGGATTCAGTCCCCAGTACCAACAATAAAAAAAGATCAGGAACGAGTCTACAAGTGATTCACACGTTGGATTTATTAAGGCGAGAACTATAACATGCTCAAGAAAAAACAAGTGAAAAGCAGAATTTCATCTAAGAAAATGGGATAGAAATCTAGAACTGAAAAATTAGTGGAAATTAACAATAGATCAGGAGTGGGGTTGTGGCTCAAGTGGTAGTACCTGCTTAGTAAGTATGAGACCCCAAGCTCAATCCCCAGTATGGGGGAAAATACGGAAGATTAGATATAGCATGGAAGGGTTGATAAAGTGGAAGTCAATACAAAACTTCTAACTGTAACAGAGAATGTTCCTTGCATTGCTAGGAAGAGAATCCAGGGCCTCACATGTGCTAGGCAAGGCTCTATCACTGAAATATACCCCCAGCCTAACAAAAACCACTTATAAACAGAAAATAAGTTATATGAAACACAGTGAGAGGTCTGACATGTATGAAGTTTGAGTCACAAAGAACAGGGTGCCACAATAACAATTCTCCAAAACTTATCTACCCACAATTTTAAGTTCAGTGAACCCCAAGCAAGATAAATACAAGCAAAATCATACCTAAACATATCATAACCAAACTGCTGAAAACAAAGACAAAAAGTCTTAGAAGCAGCAGGAGAAAAATATACATACCCCAAAGGCATGTGACAGCTGACTTCAACAGAAATGAAGCTAAAAAAAAAAAAAAAGGAGTAAAAGTAGTTGAAAAACTGCAAAAATAATTTAATTATCCTAATGATTTAACAACATACTAATATGATTTCAACATGTTGCTAGCATAAAAACTTACAGGTGTGAGCTGACAACAAAGCCAGACACCGAACTGCTCTAGAGTAGATTCAACATGTTGGATTTCTACCAGCAGTGCAGGCAGGCTCCAATTTTTACACATCCTTGCTACACTTTTGCATTGTAGGTTTGGCTGACATTTCACCAGTGACCAATGATACTGAGTGTCCTTCTGTGCTTTTATTGACCATTCCTGTTTTTGGAGAAATAGCTGAGTCCTCCTCCCTACCTTTTTTTTTTTTTCCCCACAGCACTGAGGTTGAACTTAGGGCCTCACACTTGCTTAAGGCAGGTGCTGTCCACTTGAGCCACTCCATCAGTCCTTTCCTATGGTAGGTGTTTTTGAGATATGGCCACTAACTGCACAGACGGGCCTTGAACTGGGATCCTCCCAATCTCTGCCTCCTGAATAGCTAGAATTACAGGCGTAAGCCACCTGTGCTCAGCCATTCTAACCTTTATTAAAACTGGTCTCAAACCCCTGGGCCTGGGAAAAAATTGTTTCATAAATACTTCATACCCATAGCCTGAACGTAATTTTATACAGTAGCTTTAGTACACCTGTGTTTTAAGGATGACCCATTTCATGAAGTCAGGGGTGGAAATTTTCCATATGGTGTTATGCTGGTTTTCAAAAAGTTTCAAGTTTGGGATGTTTGTGATTTTTCTTTTTTATTAAAGATGCTCAACTAACTTTTGTAAATGTCAGAAAGTACCCACAGTACAACAATATAATTTAATAAAAGGAAAACAAGTGAAGGAATGCAAAAAAAAAAAAAAAAAACAAACCTGATGCCTTACTGGAAAAGGAAAAAGAACTAAAACATTCACTTGTACCCATCCAAAAAATAAATTCCTCATGGTAAGAAAAGGAGCCTCCTTTATCTGATAGTTATTGAAAAGAACCTAAACATGTTTTTCCTTTTTTTTAAGCAGTATTGGTATTTGAATTCAGAGCCTTGCGCTTACAAGGCAAGCACAGTACCACTTGGGCCACGCCCCCAGCCCTTCCTGCTTTGCTTACATTTCAGGTGAGGTCTTGTGCTTTTACCCTTGCCAGTTTGGACAATAATCCTCCTATCGAGTACTGCTGCACAGCTGGGATTATAAGTAGAGCCACTATATCCAGCTAGTCTGTTGAGTTGGGGTCTTGCTAACTTTTGCTTACATGGGCCTCAAATCTCTATCTTCCCAATCTCCACCTCCAGAGTAGCTAGGATTATAGGCATGAGCAACTGCAGCCCAGAATATACAAAGTTCTTGATGAAATGTTTAAACATAAAGATGCACACCAATACCATTTGTGCTTAGTAATGTATTAGGAAGTACTAGCAAGTTCTTCAGTAAGAGAAAGATCTGAGTTTAAAAAAGAACATTTAATTGCAGATGATTGGGTATGCCAAGTGGCTTAAGCTCTAAGAATACCTGCCTAGCACCTGTGAGGCTCTGAGTTCGAACACCAGTGCTGTCAAAAAATAATTGCAAATGATGTGGACCTGAATGTAGAAAATTCAAAATAGAACCCAGAAGGGGGTAACTAAAATATCTCTATAAAGTAGCCAGACACAAAATACCCAAACTCAGTTTTCTAAATTATGACATCAACAAAAACGTAGATAAGATACCACGTGACAGTTTCAAAAATAAGTTACTCAGAATTATCCCCTTCTTCAGCCCACCTTGGGGCTCTCTCCCATTCAGTAAAGGCCCATTCAATTTGTTGCAGCCTGTGAGTGCACAGCTACCTGCCTTTCCATCAAGCAGAGCCCTACACTCCTCCCTTGGGCGTTCCCAGGCCAAGCCTCTAAACGGCTTCCTGACTTAAGGACCAGGGTAACAGCATCACCAGGCTCTAGGTAACCACCAGGAAATGTCTGGTTTATTAGTATCATCAGATATGTGGGGGCCTGCAGACCCTACTATATGCTGACAAGAAGTATGTTTGTCTCAGCACCTCACACAGGGTCTGGGTTAAGGGCCTCTGCCCAAATACTTTCTCTTTCCCTGGAGAACTTGGACCTTGAAGGTGGCAGCTCAGCACCCCTTCCTCAGGGAAACTCCCTCAACATGTTAAGCTTCCTACTACAGACTCTCCTGGATTCCTACACTTTACATTTGCCAGTTTTGATTTTCTACTGGTCCAGGGAACGGTCTCCTACAGTAAACATCCTCCAGGAGGAAAGCAAGGTAGTTGGGTGTCTCAAAATCCACCAGAGCCAAATTTGGTCCCAGGAGCTATGAGCAGCAGTACAGTAAAGTCTGTTTCCACCAGAGGTACATCTCTGACTCACAGGTACCCAGCAGGTTGAACTTTTCAATCCCTGGAGAGTGCTGGGTAGAAGGGCAAAGAGGGAAAGTGGGAGCTCTCCTGCCTACTCCCTGGTCTTCTGCAAGCCATGCCCATTCCCTTTCAGCTGAGGTTATCCCAAAGCAGCGACAGGACACCCATCCACTTGAAGGGTCTTTACTCCCACCCAGTGGACAAGGTCTGTGACTAGGTGGCCAGGGGCAGTGTGGAGCAAGATTCCCATGGCACTCTAATACTTTTAGCGGTCCACCACCTCTAATACTTTTGTGTGGCCGGCCATCCTCACCTCCCAGAGTAGACTGTTCTCAAGGGTTCCAGTCTGGCCTGTAACTGCTCCACAAATGGTTTCTCACATGCTAGCTTCTGGACAGGAGGCTTTCCCGCACACACAATGATGTAGTCACACTGAGTGAAAAGCAAGTGAGAATCCCACACCTTGGCAAAACGGTAGATTCTGATTACAAAGAGCAAATAAATGCATGAGAAAGATATCTGGGTTCAAATTAATGGTTTTATTTTCATCTTTAACACTAGTAGAGAAGTCCAAAACAGACTGATATCCATGAGCGTAGTTTAAATGTAACAGAGAAAGAGTTGAACTATGTACATTGAGGAAAGGAAAGGAAAGGCATTTTTTCACACCAACCTTACCCTAGTCTGCAGTATGTGATGAGTAGAACACATCTTTTTTCCCAACGTAATTTAGAATGAAGTAATACAACTTTTATGATCTACCACGTTATCTTCAAGAATTAAATGCAAAGAAATTTTTTAATGGGTGTCACCATATTTATTGGTCAACTGGCTGCATGGTTATCTTGGCTCTTGAAGTCTGGGTATTATTAGAATGTAACAAGAGCTTTTCCATGAAGCCCAGAGGACTTAATGGCCATGATGTCCAAGCAGAGGGCAAACACGCTACACATCACAATGATGAGAGCTGATGCTCCTACCCTCTTCATATGGAGAATCAATCCCACAATCAAGCTAACTGGAAGTAAGCAAAACATCAAGAAGTGAGAATGAAGAACTATTTTCTCTTCACAAAGGAGAGACACTCCTTCAGACCCATTTAAAGTGAATTCTGTGCTGAGTCCCTGCTCCTTCAGAAGGGTAAACTGAAGGTCAGTTATTGCTAGCAAAGCCCCAAGTGGCCCCTTTCCCACCTTTTAAAGATGTTTCAACGAAAAGGCTGTTGGTTTGGCTTAAAGCCCTGTAGAGGAGGGGTGTGGAGGCTGGCCTACAATCAAGGTCTCTTCCCCATGAGCCACCCCACACCTGGAGCCCTCAAGGGTAATACGGATCCCCTCACTGCCTCCGAGAGCAACCGAGGCATCCACATAGAGGTGGAGTGGAGCAGGGTTGTTATGTGACCCCTGGTAGGAAAAGCCACCATGCTTTGTTATCCAAAATCAGCGGAGCAGTCAAAAGCCCAAAGGATCAAAGCCCAACTGACCAGAAGAACAGCTTGTGAAGTAAGTATCAACTGGGGGGTAGGTATGTGTGTGTGTGAGAAAGCCAAATCAGGGCCTGGTCAAGTAGGGATCGGGTGGGCCAACATCTGGGAAACAGATGACAGTAATCTGGGCAAAAGCATGGAAGTGAGTGGCTGATAAGGCCACAATTATTGCCACTACCTCCTGCTATCTATGCTTGGGCAGACATTAGGCAGTGGGAAATGAGGAACTGAGGACCGGAGGGCATGTGGCCAACACAGGACAGATCGTATCAGAAAAGAGAAAAGACACCCAAACACGTGACTGCCCTATTGGCCTCACGTATCCTGTGCCAAGTAAGAACTTTGGAGCATGGTAAGGTTCCTGAGAACAGTTGGTGAACAGAGATGGGGTGGACAAGCACTGCTCCACAGGCAACACTGGGCTCTGAGGACACTAGCAGTGCTACATCTCCTGGGCTGCTGAAGAGCAGGTAAAGAACGGGCTTTATTGCACTTTCTCGTTCTTAGGAAACAGGGTTGCCCTGCAGAGGTTCTCTTGATTTGCAGAAAACACTGCACATCAGAATTAAAGAAGAAAAAATAATAATTATAACACTGCACATCAATGATAAGGTGCAGGCAGAATCACAGGTCATCTCTGACTCTCAAGAAAAAAAAATGTCCAATGGCTGGGCCTTCCAGGGAAGGCTCCTACACTGGACCGTTGAGCCAGGTGGCCCATGTCTAGCCAGGTCATTGTGTAGCAGGCAGACTGGTCAACTGGCAGATGCCCAGGAAGGTCCTGTGCTTGGGAGAGTTGGGGCAAGCTTTCCCAAGAGGGAAACTTCTTGGCAAATGTGTAGGCTCCATAAAGAGGCTGGAGTCATAATGCCTGGCTCCAATGTGCCTCTTTTTTTCCTACTGTTGGGATCAGACTACTCCAGAGGAGCAGAGATGCAGAACTCGCCTGAGATGGCCTCTGGGTCTAGCTCCACAGCATCAAACTAGAGATAACAAAAGGGACTAACAGGGTCAGAAACAAAAGAGCAGTTTACATATCCGATGTTGGTTTTGAAACAGTCTTTTTGAGCTCAGGAAATCGGAGGCAGATACCATGCGGAGAGCCCAGCCGTCTGTCTGTCTGTTCATTGGTGTCTCTTGAGAAGCTCTGAACACTTCATATATAAATGGGGTGGTACCGTTTGTGGTTTATCTTTTTCCTACAAGTTGGGCAAGTGTTAGCATTCTTAAGAGAATCACGGAGGCACTGGCTACAGAAGACGTGGCCACATTCTGTAGAGACAATCAGCCGCCCATTCTGCACAATCTAGAAGACATTAAAAGGAACAGCCTTCAAGCTTCCCTTGTCCCAACAGACTCTATCCCACTCATCGCTGAGAAGACCAGTGAGATGAAAGGGGACGGGGTGAAGCAGGAAAAGGAGGAGTGGTCTGCACAACCAGTCTCAGTGAGAATAGCCAGCGTGGCCTTTGGGAACAGATGGCAGAGAGGAGTCTTCAAGCAGCTGCAGTTCAAAGGGTTATGCGAGACCTCAGTACACACCAGCTGCTTCTAGTTAAAGCCAGTACAGGAGACATTTGCATCAGAAGCTCAAGGCACACAGGGGCTAACAGTAAAGTATGCAGGGCACACTCCTTTCACACAGATTTGCAATAAGCCAGTTGCCAACTTAAGTTATGACTGCAGGTGGGTGCATCAAATCCCACCTTAGATGCAGGTCCTGTTTATTTGGGGGTTTTTGTTATTTGTGGTGGTGGTGGTTTTTCCAATGAAATAGGGTACTTACCTCAGAGTATCCATCCATGCAAATTGGACAACTGACAGTACCAGAAGACCTAAAATCACAGTGCTTCTTGTCAGTTTCTCAGTACATTCAAACATTTGATTACACCCTGTAAGTAGCTTTAGCTTTCATGTAAGTCCCATACCTCCTACAAGGTCCCTCCACTGGCTTCCCCTGACTCTGCCTTAGCACAGGCATCAGAAGCCTAGCAGTAAAATTGACTATGGTGGATAGCCACGAGAAAGATTAGGAGAGAACAGAACAAGAGGTGTTACAGACAACTGGAGCCAGCCTGCCCTCTCTCACTACCAAATTTCCTGCTATTGGTGGCAGGAACAAGGGTCCACAGCTACCCCATCAGTAACTGGCATACCCTGGTCACTGTGGATAAAGCTGAGAACGGCCCTGGATCCAGTTCCAACTACATCTAACTACTGGGCAGATGCTTGAACAAGACCTTCTAGAGCCAAGAGTTCATGCACTTGTTGTAAAGTGTAGTAACTCTGCACCTGGCCTCCTACCCAGCACAGCAACAACAGAGCATTGGGTGGCATATGGGTACCTGAGTCCCGTAGCTCCCTGGTCCCTGGCACCTCTGGGAGTATGGGTGGTCACATACACGTCTCTGTCCCTGGAAAATTCCTCATCATCGCTGCTCACCACACAGCTGTCAGCATGATCTTGGCGCAGCCTCCTTGCATTCCTCCTTGGCCTCCTCCTTTCTAAGGTGAAAGTCATGTTTTTCAGGGTGAAAGTTGACTCTCGTCATCCTCACCACCCCACCCTGATACCTATGAAGACCCTCCCTGGGACTCTTAGAGAACCCTGTCAGTTGCAGCCCAGAAGGTTCTGCCCAACTCCAGAGGCCGTGTGCTTGTCTTCCCAGGGGAAAGCATTCACTGCTGCTGCAAGCCGGTGTCTGAGCTGTGGGACTGTCGTCTCAAATCATCTGCTGGTTCTAAAGCCTGATTGGCCCCAAGATGAAACTGCAGCTAAGCAGGGGCATGTCCTTCAGCAGGGCCCAGGGGTCTGACCGACTATGCACATATGAACAAAAGACATCTTCCTGCCTAGAGGTCTTGGACCGCTTAAAGATGGTCTAACAGAGCCTGTAGTGTTGTGGCTCTCACTCATGCCAGTTCTCTCGACGCCCAGAGAAAGAGATGAAACCACTCACCTTCAACAATCTGTTAAAAAGAAGAAAAACAAGAGAAAGAAACAATCAGTTTGCCTTAAGTGATAAAATGGACACATTTCTTGCTTCTAAAGTATGTAATCCTCTACAGAATTCTCTGGTGGGCCCCCAGCCCTCCCCACTCGAGCCCCATGGGACTTGTGTGCCTCTCCAGACCAGTCATGGTCTTTCCCAGGTCACTGCCTCTGAGCAGCTGATGCACAATGAACCTCATGCTGCTAGGTATATGGTGAAGCGTCTGGGAGCCTGAGCACAGACAGAGGGCCTGGTCTATGACCCGGAACGTTATTTACTGGCTAGAAGCTATACCATACAGCCCAAAAGAGAGGCACAGCTCATCTCACCGCATGGTTGTGAAGACTGAGCAAGACATGAAACACTCAGCATTGCTCAGTAAATGCCACCCACAACCAATTCAAGCCACTGTCAAAGACAGAACCTTTATTTGGAGGAAGATTTATGTTACTTAATGTCACTAAAAATGAACAAAAGCAGGACATGTGTGGACCAATTAAGTGACACACATCAAAAACTGAGATCAACAGGAGGACTGAGGTTCAAAGCCAGCCCAGGGAAGTATCTCACAAGACCCTATCTGGAAAATACCCAACATAAAAAAGTGCTTCTGGAGTGGCTCAAGCAGTAGAGCTCTTGCCTAGCAAGCACAAGGCCCTGAGTTCAAACCCCGGTAACCCCCAAAAACTGACAAAAATCAGAGTAACTGAAAGTGAATTTAGATATTGATAACTAAATCCTGAACATTTTTTCCCCCCTAAACTCAGGACTTCATACTTGCTAGGCAGATGCTTTACCACGTGAGCCATACCTCCAGCCTGAATCCTGACAGATACCATAGCCATCCCAGGAAAAAGTAAGTCAAGCATAAAGACCTTTATCTGTACTTTGCAGATAAAATAAAATCCACACAAGGCTACTTAAAGTGCTTTCCTTCTTCCCAGGAAGGACTGGAAATCTAGGAACAGATGGGCAATCTCATCACCAGGATCACATTTACTAGAAAATTGGCATGTTATCCATACAAAGTTTAGAAAAGGGGGTAAGGAGGGGACCCCAAAAAGGGAGGCTCTTGGGGTGTAGCCCTGAATAGAACTGAGAATAGAAACGAATTTCTCTACGGGTGAGATGACCTTGGCTTAGAGTACCAACACTGTCTTCACCAGCCTTTGCCAATGTGGATCACTGATTACAAGTGGATACACTGGAAGAGGCATGACATCCCCTGATTTCCCAGCAGTGTGTGGGAACTGGATCTCTCTAGGCTCCCATGAATCAAAACCAGCTCACCTTTAGGCTGTGCCAATCTCAGGGCCACACCTGGACCCTGTGCCCCAAGGAAGTACACACGCTCCACAATCCCAGGGACCCAGAGGCTGTGGGTACCCAGCTCCAGTGTTCCCCCCATTCATAGCTGAGTCACATCGAATTCCAGGAATACCTCCTGACTGTAGCCTTGAGACAGCACAGTGATTGCTTAGTATGGGAAACTGATGGAGGAAAGAGTATCAGGGCATTATAAATGTCTACTGAAAGGGAAAAGAGATGGATAGAAACACAACACAAGCTCTGGACCTCTGATTTGGCTGAGAGGGCTTTAAATGAAGTTTAAAAACAAAAAAACATAATCAAAGCAGCAATAATTAACCAATACCCTGGTCTATACAGTTTAGTTAGCTCTGTTGAGCCCAAGATCAGAAATCCTTGTCTATGAAGAACAAAAAGCCACAAGCTAGAGTATTTAGAGCCAAGTATAAGCCTGCAGCAGACATACTTGGTTAGTCACTAGAAGCCCCTCTGTGCTTCTAAAGTACAAATGAATCTCCAGCACCCCAATATGAGACAAAGGAGCACAATCATTGGAATCCTCTGCATTCAAACCAATCCCTGGCATTTTTAGGGACACTCATCTGGAAAAGAGCACTGAGAAGTAGTTTTACATGGCCTTCCCATTCATGCTGTTCCACAGGAAAAACAGCCATCTCCAACCACAGTGCACACAACAAGCTGCTCTTATGTCCATTAGCTGCATACATCATGCAATTACTGATTACTAACACCTGAACATCAGCATGAGTACCAGGAAGAGTGGCACTGACAGTAACATTCTAGTGGAACAAGTTCCCTCTTGTGTATGTCTGGGCTTCTCTTCACACAGTATGAGGTTGGTTCACTCATCCCAACATTACTGTGTGCATGTCTTTTCTACTCCAGCCAAAAATGGATGGAGCAATTGCTCCTAACTGCCAGGAGGCCTGATTTGAGAAGGTCCTTACAATAGCATCTCATAAATGAAAAACCAGGCAGAATACAGAGTACAATACAAATAGCATGACTCATCACATCAATACACTATGGAAGCAGACCAAAAACAATTCCAGGAAAATCAACCTGATTTTAAATTTCTCCTGAAATTTTATTAAGGAAAATAGTCTAAGCGAATAACGTCTTTATAACTTCTCCCTCAAAGACCCAGTTTCTTACAGCCAGAACAGAGAATGGCATGCTGTAAAGTGGCCTGCAATCTTTATCCCCTATTAAATCAGGTAAGAAAGAAGGATGGAAAACAGCAGAAATGTCCAATAAACAACAGTCTAAGCTAGGCGCTGCTGGCTCACACCTGTAAATCCTAGCTACTTGGGAGGCTGAGATCAAGAGGACTAAGGTTCCAGGCCAACCCAGGCAAATAGTTTGCAATACCCCACCTTCAAAATAACCAGACCAAATGGACTGGAGGCATGGCTCAAGTGGAAGAGTGCCTATAATGCAAGCGTGAAGCCCTGTGTTCAAACCCCAGTCCCACCAAAAAACCCCAAACAAAAAACCTTAACTTACAAAAATTGATTGAAACACTGTTACTATAAAATACTACCAAACAGTCAAGGAAGATATAATTCCAACCTTCCAATTCCCTCATAAGATACCAATACAGACACCAAAACCCTGTAAGTTACAGAATGTGTATAAAGAAAAATAGCTGTGCGCAGTGGTGCCTTTGGATTTCTAAAAGCTAGAAAAGCACACAAGTCTGCTGACAGTTTATAGTCTTGAGAGTTCACAGATGTTCTGAAAGCTGCTGCAGGATCCTGGTGTCCAGGATTTTCTATCTCAGAGATATAGAGCTATTCCTGTGCTAAATCAGTACACTTAAGCCTGCCTATAAGAGATTCTAATGCAAGTGGTAAGATAAGACTACCCTAGTTTTGGAATGAAGATGCTCATCCCTCCTGCAGGTAGAGTCTAAGGCTTCTCTAGTAGATGGGCTTAGAGAAGTAGAATTTCAGATTGAGGAGTACTTGTGAATATTAGATGTACACTGTAAGTAAGTCAGTATTTGGATCTATCACAACTAATAACAAGGGAATGATTAGAAAAAAAGGGTGAACAAATCTAAAATGACTTTTATGGCTGAGAACTAGGAGGTCAGCATGTCATAAATATTCTAGCCAAATCAACCAGTAGATCTGAAACCAGAACCCAGGACTCCCGCCTCCCAAATAGGTACTGTCACTCTTTTATCTAACAGCCTGGCCCTGACCATCCCATCACTCCAGGAGAGATCCTCCAACTCCAGTCTTCCTGACCCAAGGACCCTCCTGACTGCAGCCCTCAAAGTGTTCCAACAGTTTAATTGGGAGTGAGGGATGCCAGAACATGGAGCCCAAGGGAATAGAAAGAAAGCAGGAAAACCACCAAACACCACAAATATGCTGGGCACTAGTGCGTCATGCCTATAATCCTAGCTACTCAGGAGGCAGAGATCAGGAGGAATGCAATTCAAAGCCAGCCCAGGCAAATAGTTCATGAGGCCCTATCTCAAAAAAAACCCATCACAAAAAAAGGCTGGTGGAGTGGATCCAGATGTAGGCCCAGAGTTCAAACTCCAGTACTACCAAAAAATAAATAAATAAAAATAGCCCACAAACATGTCAAACAGGAAAGGATGTCAATGTGTCACCCAACAGAAGCCAAACACTGTCTTCTTTCAGACAGAATCCTAGCTCTCTCTGATCCTGGCCCACTGTGATTGGATACAATATTCAAAAACATAAGGACCTTGCACCACCTTCCAGCACTAGTCAACAACTGGGCTGCAGCTTCAGCCAAGGTACCAAACAGCTCTTCCCAGAACACCAGGGAGTGCACAGGAACTAGCAGTAAGCCTGAATGCACAGAAAACACTCAATTGAGGCTTAGCAATCATCACTAACAGTTAAACCTGCTCTACTTCTCAGAAAGTTCTAACCCATCTCTATGGAAGCCACTAGTTCCTGTGTAGGAGCCAATGTCCCCTGAATTCACCTATGATCTCCAATTTTGCTAAGGGATGACAATGGGGCAGCCCCATTTCTTTTCTTGATTTTTTGAGACAGGATCTCTCATTATGTAGCCCAGGCTGGCCTTGAACTTGCCATTCTCTTGCCTCTACCTCCTATCCTCACCTATTCTTTTTAGTATTGTAATTTTTTCCAAGTCAGGGTCTTGCTGCGTAGCCCAGATTGGCCTCAAGCTTATGATACTTAACCTCCCAAGTACTAAGATTATAGGTGTGGGCCATCATGCCCAGCTCCCCATTTCTTCTGATATTTTTTTCTTGGTGGGACTGAGGTTTGAACTCAGGACTTCACACATGTAATGCGGGCACTCTACAGCCTGAACCACACTTTCAGTTCATTTTTGCACTGGTTATTTTGGAGATAGGGTCTTGTGACCTATTTGCTCAGACTGGGCTTGAACCTCAATCCTCCTGTTCTCAGTCTCAAAGTACATAGATTACAGTAGTGAGCCACCTGCACTTGGCTCCTGCTGAAGTCTTGACGGTTCTCAGTGCAACCTACTCTGAAGTCCTAAGCAAGTTTGTCCCATCCCACACAGTCCTTCTCAGTAGCACCTGCCACACACTGTGCCATCATCTCCACTCCACAAGCTGCCATCCTGGCACACTATCAGAATGTGCTTAAGTGGCATCCTCAAGAGACGTAAACTTGCCCTAAGGATGCCAGTCAGTGGCTGACCATACTCGTACAGACTCACAGAGATATGCCCCTGCTCCATGGGACAGCCCAGCAAAACTAACTTCTACTATCCTCTGACCAGCCCAGGCATCACTCTCTGCAGGTTGCACATGGGAGTCACATAGCTGGTGTAAACTGTGCAATCAGGGACTAAAGAAATGGGGGGTGGGAGGGCCCCCTGAGATTCTCTCCAACTATGTTTGTACCCAGCCGTGGAAAGGTCAGAGTCACACAGACGTACTCCACAGGCAACAAAGCCCTAATAGATGATTTTCCTGAAACATTTCTCATTGTGGATTCTAGTCACCAAGTGTATGAGCTTCCTCAGCACAAGCTATCCTCTTGACCTGGAAGCTGTGAGCAAGTCTTCAGGTACTGGTGCTGGCCAGAGATCCACACCCAAGGACCGACCAAGTCTCATACTCAAATGCTTACCACGACAGAGTCATTGTGAGTCAGGTCAACAACCACGGGCTCTAAAGATTCACAGGTGAGGTCCACGATTTCATCTCCAGCTTCAAAATAAAGCATTTCAACAAGTATTAGGAGGAAAGAAAGGGTATATTCTTCTAAGCTTGACTGACGATGCAAATGTGATGTAATCCTTTACTAAACTAAAAACATTTTGCCATACACAATGCAAAAAGCATCAAGGCCGGTTCCTTTCAAGACAGCCAAAACATACCCTTTCAGCATTTTGCTGAGTGAGGTGTATGGTTTTTACAAATATACCAGGGGTGAGTGTGTGGGCACACCTCCAACCCTACGGTTATCACATGTCCAAGCCTGGAACAGCAATTTCATCAGTTCGGGGAAGACCAGGGAGGACATTTTACTTTTCATTTATTTCTGAATTGCCTCCCAACTTGCATAGAGAATAAGTTGAAATTTGCTGGTCCCCTAGAATCCCACTGCCAAGCAGACTGGGCCACCACAAAATGGTTGGGAAGCACACAGACCAAACAGTTAGCAGCAGTTACACTTGGCAGGTGGAACAAGGTGCAGAATATTCTTTCCTTTTATATGAACTGAAAAAGACTTATAACCATTTTGCTTCTGAGTATTATTACCATCAAAAAGCAGTGTTGTCTGGGCTGGAGGTGTGGGTCAAGCAGTGCTTGCCTTAGCAAACACTGGCCCTAAATTCAAACTCCAATACCACCAAAAACACTGAAGCAAAAAAAAAAAAAAATGTTTTCAACTTTTTTTTTCCTGGTACTGAGGTTTGAACTCAGGGCTTCATGCTTCTGCTCTACCACTTGAGCCACTCCGCCAGCCCAAATGTTTATATTTTTAGAAATGGTGTTGGTCTAACACTTGTTTGGGGACTCGTATGCATAACATAGTCTAACTTGTATTTGCTTTCATTAAAAAGTTTCAAAGAAATAAAATACATCACACCCCCAGCCCTTCTGTTTGTATTTTGTTATTTTTGAGAGAGGGTCTCACTAATTTGGTCTAACTGGCCTCGAACTCCCAATCCTCTTGCCTTCACTTCTTGAGCGGCAAGAACTACAGGCATACAACACCACCACATCTGGCTCAAAAGGGCTACATTCTTCATGAAGACTATTAGACATTTGTCTAACAGACCATACCCTGATACACTACAAGGTACTGAGTCATTCCCATTCTGAGAAACACAACTCTTAGCTCTTACAAAAGCAGCACTCCACCTTGCAAAGTGGGAAGTTTTGTCTACAAGATGACAAGTCTACATTCAAAGCAGCTGGATCCTTCCTGGGCCTGAGACTGAATCCTCCAAGAGACTACTTGAGTGTTCAGTGTCACAATTGAAGATGGTACCACCTCTGGGCCATGGGCAACCAGTGTCCTACCTTCTGGGTAAAGAGAAGACTTTCAGGAAATTCACTGAGAGAAGTGAAACTCAGAGACCACATAGAGAATGCTGTTACTTGGGAGACTCATAAAATGTATCACACCAAGCTGCTTCTCTTTAATTCAACAATGGCCCCAGGATTCCTGTTCCCCGGTACACATACTTTCTACACTTTGTATACCCTTCCCCTCTAACCCCAACCTTTGGATGATGCTGAGGACTGAACCAGGACCTGGCACATGCAAGCCAATTGCTCTACCACTGAGCTATACCCCCCAGCCCACTATTTCTCTTTAAAATATTCTCAGTCATCACAATTATAAAACAACTTTAACACATGTAGAGGGACTTTATTTGAGCCATTTGACAATTTCCTGGGCAGGCAAAAGGGGAAAGCCTAAACCACGCTCTAAAAACAGTAGCTCTATTGACAAGTTTGCCTTTTTGGAAGACTTTGCCTTAATAAAAACCAGAAGTGGAAACCAAGTACTGCACCAGGCCAAGCCTATCAAAAATGCAATTTTAAACAGAAAAGGTGGGCCTGGAGCAGTCTTATCTCCCCTACTGCATACTACTAGAGGTTGTAAGGTTAGCCCTGCTGAATGGCTGCTTCAAAACCCATGATGGTTCTAGGGTACTGACAAGAGTCAGTTACGTTTGATGTAGCTTTAAGCTGTGAGCACGGGTCTTATAAAAACAGTGACAGGAGCTTTTATAACAACTTATATAACACCATCCGCCATCCGCAGTTCTAAGTGTTTTATGGTACAGATTCAACTTTACGCTATAGGTACTAGCATCATCCCCTACTGCAGAGGAGGAAAAAGGTTCAGGAAGTGTGTAACTTGCACAAGGTCCCACAGTTGGGAAGTGGCAGTGACAGGCACCAATTATCTCCAACTTCCATTACTTTCTAAGTATACCACACCTTCTCCACTTTAACACACCATAGTCTAGAGTCCCTTAGAGTCTTACCAGTTTCCACGAGTTCTATGGGTTCTGCCTCCAAGGAAATCTCAGGGGTGGAGGTTGCTTCCCGAGTTCGCTTCTGGGATTGTCTAGAACTTACTGTTCCACCACGACGCTTTCTCTGAGAGTATCAAGGAGAAAAGAAACAATCACAAGAGCTCCAGACTGATAAGTTTCAGGAAGATTAAGAAATTTAACATGGGAATGGTTCAACTTAAGAGTAAGAAGTCAGTAGGCTTCAGGTGGGGTGAGGGGGTCCTTTAAAAACTGATATTTGTCAAATGCAGTGGTGCATGCCTATAATCCCAACACTCAGGAGGCTGAGGCAGGAAGGTTGCAACTTTGACGCCAGTCAGCTACACATCCAGACCCTATCTCAAAAAACAACAGAACCTTCATATTCAAGCCAGCCATGGTAGTGCATGTCCATAATTCCAGCTACTTGGGAGGCTAGGGCAGAATTCCAAGTTCATGGCCAGACTAACCAACTTAGGAAGACCCTGTTCTCAATATAAAATTTTTAAAAGGTGTGGGGAGGGTGCTGATATAGGGATGTTAGCATGGTGGTAGAGTGTTTAGAATGTGCAAGACCCTGAGTTCAATCCCCAGTACTGCAGTAAATAAAAAATTAATAAAAAACCCACTTGAGACTGGAGAACACTGAATGTTTACAGAGAGACCATGCACAACATTCAGTGATAAAATGTGATGCTTCTGGAAAAATCAAAGTTCTATTTGTTGATCCACTGAGATCCGGGGAACTCATGTCTCAATATTTCTGATCTTGGCTACTTCCCTTAGAGAAAATAAGTCCCTTTTTCTCAGCCTTGCTAGTGGCAGCAGCAGAAAAGGGCTTCTTTGCATGGTCCCTTGCTGGTGGGGGAAGATGCCCAGGCCGGCCCCCAGCCTGCATCATGGTGAACACGCTGTTTGCACTGTGTTAGTAAAACAGCTCGTTTTGTGAGTAAAACTAATGCCTGTTTGCACTGAAGAGAAAAAAATGTATGATCTATCCTCTACAGAAGCCTTGGTCTGGATCAGGATTTGGCTTTGGCAGTGGATATCCTGACAGATGAAAGGTTGCAAATGTCTGTTTAACCAGATTATGTATCTACTTTGCTTGGACTTGTGTCCAGCCTTATAAGCAGTATCCCCACCCTTCTCTCATTTTCTGTGGTGCTGGGGAATGAACAGTCTTATGCATGCTAGGCAAGAGCTCCACCGTAGAGCTACACCTCCAAACCCCTTTGTTTTCTTAAAGAATTTCAGTTTCCAGGGTTGTTTTTGTGGTTTTTGATTTTTTTTTGGGGGGGGTGCGCCAGGCTCTACCATCGACCCAGCCCTTCCAGAGTTTCTCTCCACTGTGTGTGTATGGGTGGAGGGGAAGGCTTTATGTTCAGTCTCATCCTGCCCACCACCCTCCATCTTTGCAACACCATTTACATCACCTCTGGAGTGCAGAATGAGATGGGGATGCCATTTTTAAATCCAGTCCACCTATTAAGGAACTCAGTGTATCTCAGAAAACAGTTGTTCTGAGTTTAGATCATATGTGCAACCTTGTTGTCACTAAGGAGTAAACAAGGGCAGGCAACCCTCAGGCATTCTTCTTTAGAGCTCAAGGGACTCTAGTCCACATCTGTTACACCAAACCAGAGCTGCCTCTCAGGTGCGATTTAAAGTGTAAATAGTAGTTATGACTGATCAACTTTGGTCGGTAAATGCAAGAAAACTCTCACTAGATTGTAACTACTATGATCATTTTGAACACAGGGAAACAGAAGAAATGGAAAACTGAGTTGCGAACAACAAAACAACAAAAAAGAGTCTTAATATTTCTTAACTAATCAGGTGTGGAATTTGAAACCCTAAGCCGTTCCTTCCCAGCCTTCTGCCCTTAACATCTGGCACTCAGTTGAAGACAAGCAGGTCTAAGTGACAGACTTCCTTCAAGGCCTAGGGCTTCATGCTTGCTAGGCAGGCACCTGTATTCTACTACTTGAGATACTCTGCCAGTCAGTTCCTTTTTTATAAAAAAATTTGAAATAAAATCTCTCACTAAGTAGCCCAGGCTGTCCTTGAACTGGCAATCCTTCTGTATTATTAGTCTCCTAGTTCAGGCATGCATCACTACACCAGACTTACCATCCTCTCTTTAATGAGTTATGAAACAAGGTAATTACTTAGTCCAGAAAAATAAAATCCATAACTGATAAAACTTACTGTACTCATTGTGTTCTTTGGCTCCAACCTACAGAAAAGGAAGTGATCTACACCAAGGTTTGCAGGGAAGTTGAATGCTTTCAATCTCTTATGCCCATTGGTTACTCATCCTCTGGCTTACAAATAATTTGGTGCCAGGTAGATTTTCCAGTACGTTCAAGTTCTAAAAAACAAAGATATCAATTTGATAAATGCTGCCGCCTGCATTATTGATAACAGAGATCAGCTTGAAATTTTACCAGTCCTTTCTGTCACCTGGCTGCTGAACACTTTATGCAATTTATGTCCTTAATCCCACATTTATCTTAGGAAGAATTCTTGTTGAATACAGGACTACATGATCCCAAAACCTGCAATCAGAACCATTATGCCATCTCCTACACTCCCCTCATCCCTTTCTTGGTACTGAGACTGATCCCAGAGCTTCCTGTATTCTACCACTGAGCTAACCTCCAGCCCATCCTAGCCTCCTTTCCGTCTGCTCCAACTCTAGCTAAAGTAATCAGCTAACTCCTGGGAAAAGAAGAGTTAGAAAGTGCCACACTGGACCACACTAGCTGCTCAGCAACCAGGCCCTACTCTTGAGAAACTGAGGCTGAGAGGTTGAGGAGATAAAAGTCATCCACCCTAAAGTATCCAACTGAGAGGCTCCCAACTTCCCTTTCGGACTCATAAGACCATTCAGACCACAGGACAATCCCAGACCCACCATAATCCCTGGGTTCCAATGTGCAGATTTACGTTTCTGGTTCTAAGAAGTCTCGTATATCTGGGGCACATCTATGAAATATTTTTCCCTGCAAAATTATCTACATCAATGGTATGTCTTAAATTGAGAAAAATACAACAAAAATATCAGACAGGGAGGCACAAGATTTACTTCCCTGCTGATCAATGGAAAATGATACAATGCACACACACTTTGGCTGTTCCACAAGCCTCTGGTCTAATTCTTTCCAACATGGCTGCTGCAGCTACATCCCTGGGGCAGGGCTGGCCTGCCCTGCCACTGAGGCCAGCCTCCTGCATCCCTACAGGCCCTGTTAAACCACTGCCTTCCCTGGGAGCTTTCTGGAGCCTTGTCCTCCATTGTTCACACCCTTAGCCAGTTACAGCAATTCATTCTAATAGGGGTTTTCTCTTCTAGGGATAAAGTTCAAGAGTCAGGGAACACAGGAAGCTGAAGTCTGGCCTTAGGGCAATCAATCAAAAGGCTGAATTTCACCAGAATCCAGGTGGAAACGGACATTCCCAGCAGACCAGTGGGGATGTGGAATACAGTGTGCAGACAAAGGCTAGGAGTCATAGGAAAAGTAGTCCTCACCAACCCCAAAGGATTTTGGATTATGCAGGTAACAAAGGCCATTGGAACAAAAAAACTAGCAACAGCTGAAAACTGCATATGCAAGGCACTGTGCTATCTGAAGACAATTTCCTAATGTCCAGTAAAGAGACAAGTTACCATTTTATGAAAAAAAAAAAAAAAAGCTAAAAGAATGATCAAGAGTGAAATAGCTTGTCCATAATCCACAACTAGCAAATATCAGAGCCAGGTCAGGAGAATGACTCAAGTAGTAGAGCATGTGCCTAGCAAGTGACAGGCCCTGAGTTCAAACCTCATACCATCAAAAAATCAAAACAAAAACCCTATTATTGTCAGAGCCCTGATTATACTGGGTAGTCTGATAACAGAACCTACTTTTTTTCATTTTCTTTTCTTGCAGTGCTGGGGACAGAACGGGTCTTCCTCATGCTAGGCCCAAACAATCACTGTACCACCTAAAGTATAACCCTGGCCCTCAGAACCCAATCTCTTAAATACTTGCTAGTACCAGAATTAAAGGTATTCTAAAAACAACTTGGAACATGGAAATTTTTTATGTCTACAAAGGAACTCCTGCTTCCTACTTCAACAGAACCGTCTGTTCCCTATATTCCATCTCAGCAAAGGGCCCCTACAATCACTCAGCGAGTCCTCACTTGACAGAGCTTTATCTATTTTCTGCCCACCTAGTATCTCACATATAGTAGATGTTCACGATTACTGACATAAATGACTTAGGATCAAAGTGAGGTGGGTGATGGTACCCCTGACACTGAGAAAAGACCTTGGGGGCTGGTGGAGTAGCTCAAGTGGTAGATCATCTGCTGTTCTGAGGATGAGATATAATTGTGCCAAGGTTCTGGCTGGTTGTTGTGTGAAAGTCACACAGACCTATAATCCCAGCAGTTGGGAGGTTGAGACAGGAAGATCACAAGTTCACAGCTAGCCTGGGCTACACACAGTGAGACCCTGCCTCAAAAAAAAAAAACAAGCCAGCTGGGTGCAGTGGCTCACACCTATATCCTAATTACTTGGCAGTCCTCGAACTATCTGGGTAAAAACAGTTAGCAAGACTCCATCTCAACTAATAAAAAGCTGGGCAGGGGTGTTGTACACCTGTCATCCCAGCTACAAGGGAAGTATAAATTGTGTAACTGTGGTCCAGGTCAGCCTGGGCATAAAGGCAAGATCCTATTCAAAAAAATACATAAAGCAAAAAAGGCTGGGGATATGGCTCAAGCGGTAGAGCACTTGCTTAGTAAGAGCAAGGCCCTGAGTTCAAACCCCAGTACTGGAAAAAAACAAAAACAAAAACACCAAAGAACAGTATTAGAAAAGGAAAGAGAGGTGCTGAGGGTAACTTTAATGTTAAAAATAGCAGATGTGAGAAATCCAGGTAGAATGCTCCAAAGGTATCTGCAACACTTAAGTGAGAACTGGAGTGAGGTAGAGATTTCAGAATGTATGAGAATTGGGGAAAGCAGATAAAGAGGAACCTATAAAAGAATTAAAAAGCCAGAAACAAAGCTAGGAGATCCTAGATATTCATTTAGAAACAAAGAGGAAGAAGCAATGAACACCTGCAATGGACAGGCTGAGAGAACCAAAGGCCAGTTCGGTTCAGTTCCTGAACCAAAGCCTGGTTCAGGAAGTTGATGTGGGGAACCAAGGCATGTGGAAACAGCAACTAAAGGAGCACTCTCCAAGTCCACACTGCACTGCAGGCAAAACTAGGCAGTCCAGGTGAGGCTGCATTTCATGAGGTCTACAGTGATAGGAGGAACTGCTCAAGAAACAAACTGGATGGGGAAGGGTTGGCAGAGGGAGGAAGGATGCCCTAGAGAAGAACTGTGTGAAAGGTATTCAGGAGAACTAGGAACACCAAAGGTGACAGGGTTTAGATCATAACAAGCGACATAAAGCACACCCTAAGGGCAAGGCTATAAAGGCTGTAAGGATGGATAATGAATTGAGATCAGCATTTAGAAACTTTAGTCTATGTGCTGAGGACAGATGAAGACTATGAGTTAAGAGTATAGACCAGCAAGGAGACTCAAAATAACGCAAATGATAAGAATATTCCATAGCTCAGAGATAGTGTCAAAGTGCGGGAGAGAGACTGACTGGATAGGAAATGTGAAAGCTTTAGGGCTTTCTGTGTACTTTTTACTCATCTTGAGTAGTAGTGAGGTTCTGAAGTCAGGGCCTAGGGCTTTGCCAACAACTTGAGCACGCCTCCAGCACTTTTTGCTTTCAAATAGGGTCTTATGTTTTTTAACTCCCCTGGGGACAGGCAATCTTTCTATCTTATGCCTCATGTGCAGCTGGGATTTACAGTTGTGTACCACTGATGCCTTTCTTGCTTTTCGAAATGAGATCTTGCTAGCTTTTTGCCCAGGCTGGCCTCAAATTATGACCCTCCCCATCTCTGCCTCCCAAGAAGCTGGGTGCAAGCTATAACACCAGCCTGTTTGGTTGGTTTTTTTGTTGAGGTAGGATCCTCAACCTTCTGAGTGCTGGGATTACAGGCATGTACCACCAGGTGTGGCTGCTTTCTGTTTTTATACATTTTTATTGGTATATGCTTAATCATTTTGTTACTGTTAGAGGTTTATTATTTCCAATAAAGCTATTCTGGCCATTCATAATGTAGACCATCCCTACTCTAGATGGAATATAACATATGTAATCATATGTACATACTGCATGCATTTTCTGTGTACAACATGCAATACACATGATAGCTAGAAACAGATTGTTAGGCAAGCAGGTAACAGGAAGAGTTAGACTAGAACTGGCTTCTACCACTGAATCTCCCATCACTATATCCCTAAGAGCAAAGAAAGGGTCAGCAGAGGAGTTGGGGAGAGACACAAGAGAAACAAAATGAATTCTAAGGAGATGTTCTGGGCTCTTGGTTTAGGTCAGGCCCTCTACAGCACAGTGCTCTCAAACCTGCTGCAGGGAAGCAGGGTCTGAAATCAAAGACTGAACTCCCTGAGTTCTGGTTCCACCTATGATAGCTGAGCAATCTTCAACCTAATGTGACTCCTTGTGCATTTTTCTCTGGGACAAGATGTACAGGCTCATCAGTCCACTCACTGTGTGACAATAAAGCAGTTCTTCCAAGTTCAGGGTAAGCAGAGGGAGGAAGGACATCCTACAGAACTAGATCCACAAGACCCTGTCTCCAAAAAAAAAAAAAAAAAAAACCAGGATGGGGGTTGGTTAGGAAGAGAGAAGGGCTGGGGATTCAGCTCAGTAGTAGAGAACTTGCCTAGCATGTATGAAGTCTTAGGTTTAATCCCCAATAAAAATAAAAACTGCCAATTTTCATTTCAAAGCTTTAATGCAGCCAGGCACTAGTGGCTCACTCCTGTAATCCTAGCTACTTGGGAAGCAAAAGATCAGGAGGTTTCTGAGACTCCCCCCATCTCCAAAATATCTAGAGCAAAATGAACTGGAGGTGTGGCTCAAGCGGTAGAGTCCCTGCTTTGCAAGCACAAAGCCCTGAGTTCAAACCCTACTTCCACCAAAAAAAAAGTAATGACAAGGAAAGAAAAGTCAAAATGTTTGCCACAGAATGTAAACTAGTACAACCACTCTGGAAAAAAATTTGGAGGCTACTTAAAAAGCTAAACATTGATCTACCATTTGATCCAGCAATACCACTCTTGGGGATATACCCAAAAGACTGTGACACAGGTTACTCCAGAGGCACCTGCACACCCATGTTTACTGCGGCACTATTCACAATAGCCAAGTTATGGAAACAGCCAAGAAGCCCCACCACTGATGAATGGATTAAGAAAATGTGGTATCTATACACAATGGAATTT